GCGCCGGGCTGCCCTCGGCGTAGCCTGCGGGGCGAGAACAACGGAGCTGAGGCCGGGTGGCGGGGCAGCCCGCCCGGCCGGGCCCTGCGCGCCCGTCCTTAGAGCCAGCTGTCAGCCGTACAAATCGCTGCTGCTAACAGAATCGATAAAGTGGGATTTTGGGGGGTTGGGTTTGTTGTTTTGCTTTGGTTTCGGTTGCTGTGTTTGGGGTTGGTTTTGGTTTTTTGTTTGGTTGTTTTTTTGTTTGGTTGGTTTGCGTTTGTGGGTTTTTTAGTACTTCATAACCACGTTATTCTCAGTAGTTGGGGCTGGTTGGGTGACTGCCGGGCAGCCGAGCCCCGGGGAGAGCAGGCGAGGGCAGGGGCCGGGGCTCGGCTCCCCCAGCCTGCCAATAGCCCAGGTTCGGCGCTAGCGTTTCGCCTTCCACTGCGGTTCTTATTTCGTTTGAGATGTACGAAATAAGAGCGGCCATAAAAGTAATTTTTTTTTTTTTTTCCTCCGGCGTTACGTCGAGGATCCCTTCCTTTCTCTCGAACGTTTGACAAAAAAGGCATGCACTGTGGCCCCCAGGAAATCCACCTCTCACCTGGCTCCCCCTCCCCAATTACAGCAATAATAACAACCACCGTCCATCACCATGGACCGCAAAGCACGGGGAAGGAGAGGAGGCTGTTTCAAACCCCCTGTTACAGGCAGAGGAAAAGTGAACAATGCCCAATTACCCCGAGGTGGGCACAGACGGCACGTTGCATATACACACAGAAGGACACACAGAGACAAATACGGGCAGTTTCCTCCCATTCCTTTCTCTCTGATTTCATCTATGTATGCATATACCCACATACACAGCTCGAGAGACGCCGAGAGCTCCAAGGGCACGACGAAAAATAAGGAGAAATCTTTCCTTAAATATAGGTGGGTGGATATTTGTGCCCACATATATTCTGGATATGTATCTACATACCAGTGGATTTGGGCATGCACACGCACACGTTCACGCACCAGCACAGGAGCTGCTCGGGCAGTGTGTCTCGGCTATCGGGATAGAGCAGTAATTGCAATAATATTTTACAGCCTGGAGCTCTGTCTTCGCAGAAGAGAGAGCGCCGGTACAGAGGCGAGCAACTTCGGCGGTGGCGGTGGGTTTGCTTTGGTTTTCAAAGCCGATTGGCAAAGTGCGGGACTTAGATGGAGATGATAAAGGAAGAGTTACCTTTGTTACTGTTTTCCTTCAGCTGGGAGGAAGTCAGGCTGGCTGGGGAGCGGAGTGCGGAGCAGCCCACCTCCACATCACTGTTCATATCTGCCTCTTGAGCAACTTCGGAATAAAGGCTGATTTTCTTCCTGCTTTCCGACGGCGGGATTTCGGAGGAGACGGTGTTTTCACTGTTCGGGTGCTGAAGATTAAATAAAGTGTCTATTTCAAATTTGCCTTTGGCGGAGATGTCCCCTATAGAGCTGTGCAGGGAGGCGGCAGTCAGTCTCGGGCTGAGGCGACCACTGTGCGGAGAATTTTCAAGGGCCTCCAGCACCGCATTTCCAGCTGAGTCTGACAAATTCGAGAGCCTTTTGCCAGCTGTAGGGCTGTGCAGTCCTCTCTCCATCAGGATCATCTCTTTTCTTATTCTTTCCATCATCTCAGCTTTATAAAAAATGTCAAAGTTGCAGGGCTGGTCCTGTACTAATGATGAGCTGCAGCAGGGGCTAATTCACATTCAGCCCGACAAGTGTCCCTAAATATTATTATCTCTTTTTGAGGGAGGCGTAAAAATTGTAGGATGCCAAAGCCAGGGAATGACTGGTCAAAATGACCCATACATCCTTTCTAGCCCGAAATGTCATTCATCAAAAAGTGGTGCTCGTCATTAAGGTACGAATGACGCTGTTCGAATAATCATTTATTGTAACAGGTTTATAAGCAAATAAATACAAGCTCCTGTCAGTGGATAATGAAGGCGGCTTCAGAGCAGACAAATATATCCAGGTAGAAAGAAAGAAAGACAAGAAGTGAGGAGTAAAGCTCTTGTCCTTAGCTTGATCAGATCTTGCTTGAATTGCTCTGGGGTTTGGCCTCTGGGGTGGAATTGACAGTCTGATTAATAAAATGAGCTGTGCAACATTTCCCCCTTCATTTAGGTGCATCATTATGCTCTGATTTTTGTTTTGTTGCCTTTTAGGTCCTAATGATGCAGCTTCTTTCTCATTTGTCCTCGGACAGAACTACATGTTAAATATTAGATAATGCTTTTCTTTATTATTATTTCTGAGGCGGATTTTAGATCACAACTCGAGGAAATGCTGGAAGTGGACCAGAGGACCGAGAACCCCCTGTCGCTGATCTCTCTTTAATTTTCCCTCCCATTTCCAGACCACATTAGTACTTTTATTTCGGAATTTGCACTGACACCCCCACGCACCCCCTCACACGCGCGAGCCTTATGCCCAAACTTTTTAAGACCCCTGCTACGGGCACACTCCGATTCCAGTGCGCTTACAGCAGTTGCCTGGAATTCAACATATTTATTCTAATAAAATATATTATAAGTCTAATATTTTTTTTTCTTCGTTGAGTCCTTAGGTACGATCTTTTTTACTTTCTATAATCCTGCTGATCGACGAAGCCAGCCTGGCATTTTTCCCCTCTGGGACGGTACTAGCTGTTGTATGGTATGTCTGAGGGGAAATAACCCAAGGACATCAAATGCATTCGTGATTTAAGACACTCCACGACCGTGCTATTTCATCCTCGCGGCAGGTTTCTTTCCAGCCCTCTGCTTCTTCCCTCCCCATCGCCAATAAAGTTTACGCATTTTTAAATTAAAAAAGCAATAACAGAAATAAGTGATGAAGGGTTATTGCCTACAGGGTTCGAGCTAGCAGAGACAACACACCTAGCACCTTCTCTCCGAAGTTACCTGTTAGCTCATCCCTCCGCTCTTTGCCGAGTGCCGCGGGGCGCAGCGTGGCCGCGCTGCAGGGGACACGGGCGGCCGCCCTCGACAGACGTGACAGTCGGAAAGTCTCCCTTCAGTTATAACTTTGCTAGCAATAATGACGCTGATGGCGACCATTTAAACGAAGATAAATCCTTTGTCGTTAGCATCTCTGGAGTGCGCTTCGATAGATGCCCACCCTTTATTCTCGCCGTGATTTTTTTTCACCCACACCATCTAGTATTTAGACCCTGGGAATCTGAGTTTCATAGCCCCGAAAAACACCCCAACGTTGCCCGCGTGTTTGATTTTTTGCAAGGAGAGCTGTTACTGCTACTGTTAGTCACACACATATCCTAAGTTCTTATGCTCTTGCGCATGATTCGAAAATGGGATATTTGTCAGATTTTTTTTAAATAACGTGTTAAAATCCCACTAAACATTCCACCAAATATTTAGGAAACATTCTAGCCGTTGTTTGCAAAATCCAGCCTTCCATTAGTGAGCGTTTTATGTCAGCTCTTTGAAATGTGAATTTAAACTGCAGTGTAGTGTCCTGCGTTTTACAGTCCCAAAACCAGACAAAAGTAAATATAAACTTTTCCCTGCCCGCGGGCGTGGCGGCGGAACGGGCCGATGTGGGGGGAGAGCGGAGAGGAGCTTGAGCCCGCAGGGCGGCGGCGGAGCCTGCAGCCCATCCCCCCGGGGCCCAGCCGGGAACGGCATGGGGGGTCTTTTCCCTTCCCTCTCGGGGACGGAGGGTGTCCCCGCTGCTGCACCCCAGCTCAGCCCCTGCTGACCCCGGCCGCCCCGCAGCAGCGGGCACCGCCCACGCCCCTGCTCGGCGGTCCGGGGGGCAGGCGGCCCTGCCGAGGGGGCCGGAGCCCCCGCTTCTTTCGCCGCGCCCGGCTCCGCAGCAGCCCGAGGGCCCGGCTGGGCGGGAGGCGGGGCGGAAGCCCACGGTCGGGTTTATTGCTGTCGTTTGGCGCCCTCGTCTGTTTTCTTAACTGTTGCAACAGGGCGAGCATCTCCCATGCTCTGTGGAAAACCGAAGCCGAGATACAACTCCGAGGGACTCGTGTGCGCACACAACCAAAACCTGCACAAGTTCGGTCTCCAGAAGTGTTACTTCACCACTAGAAAGGAAGGAACGCTTTTTATGTTATTCGGAGGGCATGAAAAAAACCTACATAAAAGGCCCCGACGTGAGAAAAATAAATTACATCCAAGGGCGGCTGTGAATTATCTTTATTGGCGTTATGTTACAGTTTTCACCATTTAAATAATACTCATACCTTAGGTTACGTATAATGCATCTTAAAATATAGCTACCTTAATATGCAAGGGAAATAGCATACAATAAAAGACGTTAATAATCCTCCCTTAAGTGCACATGAGATAACAAAACCATCCCCTCCCACGCATTTAATCCATACACCCCAAATCGTCAACCCGCTAGTAAAGTAGTTGCAGGATATTTATATTCCCAGCATTTATTGCGTCGGTGTTTTGGATTTTTGGTGGTTTGGGTTTTTTTAACTAAAAAGAATAGTGCAGCTTAAAATCCTTTCGACATATTTTTACAGTTCTTCAAAACCAACAACTCAGTTTAAAGAACCTCCGGCATTACAGTGACATTAGTGGGCAAAGGGGGAGGAAGTTACAGAGACCGTCGAAATATGCGGGGGTTTGTTAGACGCTGTTTACTCAGTTGTTCGTGTAAGTTTAAATAGCTGCTCAGGCATATGGCCAGAAGTCTTTTCATTTTTACCTTGAAAGTTATTACTCGAAACATCAAAGAGTATTTCAGTGCTCGTTTATTAAACCTTACCAAGGAAAAAGAGGTCATGCAACTTAACTGAAATGAAGTTCGTATTAAATCAGCCAAACCCCTTCTCGCTCGGCTTTTCACCGCGCAGAGCGGGCTCGGGAGGACGGACAGGAATATCGGCTTCCTCCTCCCCAGCTGGGCTGGCTGCCAAGGGGGGCCCAGGG